CCACTTGATCATGAAACACGACAACAACAACAAATAATCTGTAGATTCAACTACAGCTACTAACGCCGTACAATTACCTTCTACAACAACTTCAACAACTTCAACCCCAAATAAACCCAAACATCTTTCCCCCACAGCACATACCCGGAATCCCTGTCCCGGAACCCACAACCCCTCATCCGACGCCACCCTCTCCCGACCCATCAATCTAGTCTAGTACCCGATAACACACCCACACCATACACTCCATACACTCCACACACGCCCATACTCCGCCCCTATCCTCCATACCATCAGCAACCACACCGTATCCTCCTGATATCCTTCCATTCCACCACCAATACAACCAACCCACAATGTCTGCATATGCATCCGCCTACCCGCCCGACACCCCCTTCGACCCAGCCTACAAGGCCTTCTTCGAGCAATTCTACGCCGTTTCGGATGATCCTGGGGCGCATGAGGTGTATGTGGAGAACTTCACGCGGGATGCGATTGTGATTATGGCGTCGAGGAAGGTGGTGGGGCGTGATGGTGTGTGAGATTTTTTCTTCTTTTTATTTGGTTGGTGTTGGTGTTTGTATTTGCATCTACGGAGTTTTTTCTGTTGTCTAGTTGCTATTTTCATGTGATTTCTTTGAGGGGTATTCGTGTATGATGCATTGGCATTGACGTCGAGGGGCTGTGGAGGATGGGGATAGGATGCTGGTTTATGTTTGATTGTACTCCCCCATATCCACCATCAAATCCAACAAATACCCTCCTCCTAACCACCAAACCAGCCATCCTCGCCCTCCGCCACTCCATGTGGGAAAAAGTCGCCTCGCGCAAACACACTGCCTTCAAAGTCTTCCCCTTTGGTGCAAACAGCAATGAAGTCATGATCTACGGCAGCGTCACGTACGGTTTGAAAAGCGGGGGGGAATCCAGTTTGGATTGGGCGGCGAGGGCGCATTTGGTCAAGGACGACGCGGATGGGAGGGTGAAGATGGATTTTTATCAGGTTTATCTTGTAAGTCTCAGGATTTCTTTGACGTCGTTGAGGGATTGTTTGTTGTACTGTTGGGGGGATGAGAAATATTGTTTACTGACTATCTGGAATAGGATACGGGGGCTCAGCCACAGGCCAAATGAGTGGAGGGTGCGGTGAGATGAGACGGGTGGACATGGTTATCATGTGGAATAGTTTGTGGTGAAAGTATAAGTATTGACTAGAATATTTGTACAGAACCATGGACCCGAAAAACGCCCTGAATGCAAGAGCTAAAACGCTACACTAAAACAAACCGCAGAAAAGGATATGCCCACACAGGCTATCCAAATTGCCAAACTTCGCCAGGAGTTTTGAAACCGAATAAATGGAAGCGAGGTAGTCAACACTATTCTCATGCACCAAGTGCAACAAGCCTACTCTTGATGTCCAACGGCCTCATGGCCTGATTAATAACCACACTAGAAATAGTACCCATGTTCACCACAGACACATAGCCCGGCGCAACTTCACTCGCCAACACTTCTACACACTTCATCGCCTCCTCTTTCGAGATTGGTGTCCGTATTGAGCCCTGCAGTTGCTGGAGAAACGTAGCCATGGAAAAGGAAACGCGTATACCGGGGCGATTTGCGCAGAGAAGAGAGAGAACGCCGAGAACTTCTGGTGTACGTTGAAGCGCAGCTTTGCGTGCGAGTTCAGCGGGCGTAGGTGCAGACGGGCCAATTTTCGCAGCTTCTTGCTTTGCAAGGATGCGGTCCAGGAGATTTGTCTTGCGTACTGCGGCGAATTCGGTGATTTTGGCTTGGACTGGCTGGTTCAGGATCGCGGGCTCGTTTTCTTTGCCCAGAGATGACCTATTCTTCTTCTGCGCACGGCCGTGTTGTACGCTCTCCTTGAATTCACGGAGTCGCTTGCGGCCCTTTTCTTGCGCGGGCGCAAGTGCAGCCAACGATTCGCATGCTGTCACGTCGGCGAGAGGGAGCTGGGCGAGGAAGCTGGACATGGCGTCGTCATCGAGAAACGTCTCCATGCGTGCGTGCTTGATATCGGCCTTCCTTGGTCTTCCACGACCGCGCTTCGGCATAGCAATCGGGCGTGTGGCTAGATTTTGCGAGATGCGCCATTGTTGCCATAAACTGTCCAAGCCTTCCTTGAACATATCCTGAAGACCTTCCTCGTTCATGTGCGTCATTCCATCCATGAGTGGGCTCTCATCCTTGATTTCGATACAGATCTTGCCGCGGCCATAGTCGGAAAGGTAGTAGGGATTGTGTCGTCCAGAGGGTCCGTGGTCAAGGATGCCAATCAGGAGTCGGACGTCGTCGACTGTGACTTTCCGTTGCCGCCAAACCAATGTAGTCGATGCAGTCAAGTCCCGTAGATCGGCAGGTGTCGAAGTGCCATTATGCGCGTAATGCAGTGACAGCGCAGTGAGAAAGGATGAATGTAGTGCGAGGAGACTGACCAGCTCGGCCGGGAGCTGGCCGGGAGCAATAGGAATAGGCGACATGGCGGGTGATGATATTACAATGGATACGGTGTTGAGATAGAAAGGATCAATGGCGAAGAGAATGCGTAATGAGGGTGTGGGAGAGGCGACTGCATTGTTTAAGGACCGTGGGGCTGGCCATTGAAGGGGGAGTGGGAAATGGCGACCAACGCGTTTTCCGCGTTCGCGTCGCGTCGAGCCCCGTGCATAACCAGCACCAATCAGCGTGCACAAGTCGAGAGATCGTCCGTGTGTTCGAGACATGCATTCTGGTAACAGAAGAGCTTCCTTTCAACTGTTAACAGTTGTTTGACAATGCATCTTCTCAACCGCAGTGTTACAACACCGCTCATACAAGATCACAGTCAGAATACTATTATTCATTAATGCAACTTATCATTATACTTGAGATACTGAGATGAGAAGACTTGCGCCTATATACTCCCGTGCTCGGAGCATATGCAACGCCCTCTGCCCCCTCCGACCCATGGCCAAATCTCAGGTCGTCAAGCTTCTGATAGTTTATATGATACAAGATCGTGCAATACCTACAAGACCCAAACCAACGCTTACTTGCCACCGAACAAGCCACCGAGCCAGCTCTGTGTCTTTGCAGCTTTGTCCTCAACAACGGCATCGAACTTGTTGGCGGCAGCGTTGACCTGCTTGCCAGTCTCGTGGTACTCCTTCTCGGCTTGAGCCTTGGCCTCTTCAAACTTCCTCTTTGCTTCTGCGCTGTAGGCGTCGAACTTTTGCGCCGCCTTCTCGGCTTCTGCATTTGCTTTACTAGCCTGTAGGAGTTAGGATGAGGTCATTGATGTGGTTGCGAGACAAGCCAAACATACATATTGTGAGGCAGTTGCGCGCACTTGCTCGTAGCCCTCCTCGGCCGCCTTTTTTGCTTCCTTGTCCTGGCCTGGGACATCGCCCCTCAACCTGCGTGCAGCGTAGGCGGCATCGTCTGCACAAGTCAGCGGGAGATGCTACCTAGTCGTGGTGTACTGGGAAGACGTACGTTCGGCCTTCTTCTCGGCGAGTTTGGGATCACCTCCCGCGCTGTACAGGTAGTATGTAATTCCACCAACAGCAGCAACACCACCGAATGTAGCGATTCTGCGAGACATGATTTGAGTTGAGGTTGAAGTTGGTGGGATTAGTGAAGAAAGTGAGAAGAACTGAGTTCTGGAATGAGCAAGGGAGGGCAATATTCCAGCTTGTGCGAGGGGAGAGCTGCGATGATGATGTATGTCTTTCAAGGAAGACAGGCGCAACTGTGACGTAATGCCTCAAGGAGCTCGCTCCAGCACGCGCTGCACGGTCCCAAGCCAGCAGCGCGAACTACGAACTGGGTACCGTAGCAGACAAACGATAGTACTCTAGAGTATGCATCCGGCCTCTTTGCATGTGCACATGGCGTTTGCTTGATAATTCACTACCTTTTTTGACAACCTGTATTTTAAACACCATTTGTGTGGTGGGTTTAGCAGTGTATTCTTGATTCGGGGCTTGGAACTTGGAATTACCGGCGTGGTTTCGTGAGCTTGCATGATAACCCCGTTGGCAAACCCCCTAATCCTGAGCGGTTGACAAGACGACTGACCGCTCTTGCCTGCGAGGAGCCATAAGGCACATGGTCCTCATGCTTCCACGGTAGTAAGGTGCAACGGCGGGTCGCCTACCTATATCAAGAACTCCCAACCAGCCTCAATTGTGCGACACACTCGACGCTGGACAGCATGGCAGACCAGCAAATCGCCCTGGTCGACCACACCAACGGCGACAACACGCCCACCTCACAGGCGCAACAACCGCCTCCTGCACCAGACTCGCATATTGACGTCCTATTTGAGAATCAGCGCGGCTGGTTTGTCTTCGGCATACCTCTCTTCTCCTCCAAAGCCCTATGGAATTTCAGGATCGACCCAGCACCCTGGGTGGACGCCAAATTCAAGCCCTCGGCAGTCAACATCACAAATGCACAGGTGCCCGACCCCAGCTGGGTGTGGGACTGGAAGAGCTGGTATGTGGACATGAGTCTCGATGTGGATGAAGAGGGGTGGCAGTACAGTCTTCTATTCAAAGGCTCGCCATGGCATGGGAACCATCCGTGGTTCCACAGCTTCGTGCGCAGGCGGCGATGGCTACGGAAGCGTGTCAAGCAAAAGATCCCGCCCAAGACGAAAGAGTCGGTAAGAGAGCGCATGTTTGGCGAGACATTTAGTGTTGGGACTACGTTGGCGAGAACGGGCACACTAGGAACGATGAGCGGGCTGGGGAGCGAGGAGCAGTCTGTCGACGAAGAGGTCAGGGACATTGCGACGCTGATGAAAAAGCTGAAGAGAGCTGCGATTGATCGCGAGAAGATCGTCATCATACACAAATTCATCAATGACGGAGGGGAGGAGCTATACTACTTGGCCGAGCAGGTCAGTTGTCCTTCCATACCTCCCACGCCAACCAGCTAACCATATTTCCAGATTCCAGCCATCATGTCCATGCTCATTTTTCAAAATTCCCGCCGCCAGCTCCTCTCCACGCTCATGGATCGTTTCGAATCTGCCCGCGACCACCGTGAATCTCACAAGAAAGAGAACAAGCCCGAAGGCGATGCGGAACAGCGTCGCATAGACAACCTGCTCAAGGCTGTCAAGGCTGCAGACAACGAGTGCAAGAAGCTCGAGTACTGGAGCGATATCAGGAACCTGACGGAACAAGGCAAAGCGGGCAATGCGACGGATCCGTCCATGGGCTGGGACGATAAATGGCAGGGACTCGACGTTAGCGGCGCCAAGCATCCTGAGCATGATGAGGGGAGTTTGGACGATAAGTTGAAGCCGGTGTAATCAGGGTCGAGGAATAGGCGTTTTGAGGAGTTGCATTAGGGTATACCAAGGGCGCATGTACATGTTCAGCGTTCTGACAAGTGTGGCAGATATTCACATCGTTGTAGTCGTACATAATCACGCAGCGGACAACTCTGTCTCCCTTTGACCTTGCTCTTCCCAAGATACTACTACTTGACTCACTCCTTTACAAGTCTAACCCTCATCGGCCCTTTGATCTCCTCCAACCTCTCGACCCTGACTACTTCTCCCTTCTGCAGCACCTCGACTTCCCCCGCCTCACGCTTCTCCCACACGACAGCTCGGATAGCATCCATAGTGCTTCGCCAATCTGGTGCATTTAGTGTCGAGAGTTCGGCGGGCGATAGTGCACGTGCAACCTCCGAGGGGCAGATGGTCTTTGGGTAATCGCGGGCCGTGAGAAGCCGGTCAGCATGCCGAGTGACGATGTCCCGCTGTGCGTCGTCGATAGCCATGGAATCGAGTGTCTTGGGTCATTGGAGAATGCTTGGGAGTGGAGGGACAGCAGGCTTGGAGGTTGTGATGCAGACGGCTTGGGACGTGCTACAGCGGGGTTGGAGCTACGCAGACATGCAAGGATGACTCTCGCTTGTTGCACTTTACTGTACTTGCATTGGCCAGGAGGGTTTCATCACCCAACGGTCTGCTCCATGCTCTCTTCGCATCCAAGACATCCAAGGGCCAGACACTTATCTCTGGCATGATCAATGGAGATGATTCTGGTCGTGACTCCATGTTCAGAATTTGCAACACTCGATACCTAAACGACCTAAAACCACTCGCACGGCGACATCGGCCCCCGCACGACTGTGCAACCTTGTGGATGCCAAATCGCAAAAACACACAAACCCGGCTCTCTTGGCGATCTCGACAGCATCTCCCAGCGGCTCAATTATGGACCTCCGTTCCTAGCTCCCCAAGATCGGCAGCAAGGTAAGCCAATCCCTTGACGGACGTGGCTCTCTACCCAATCGGCTCCTCTCCAAAAAAAAAGCTATACCCACGGTTATCTGCGCCCATATCACTCGCGGGTTGTGGTTCATTCCACGCGGGCTATATTTCTGGGGCTTGCAGCTTATTTGCTTGTTGAGCAGCTTGCATGCTGCGTGGAACCGCTGTCAGATTTGTCAATGTCCTCGTTGGGATATATACCCCACGCTGCCCGGGTGGCGGGGCGCGTCCGCATCGTGCCTTCTTTGGTTCTTACTTCTTCCTGTTCAAAAGCTGTTGAGTCAAGTCCAAGGTGCTCCTCGCTTGCCAGATCCATTCTTCCCTTTTCTGCAAAACGAGACTGCTCTTCTTCCTCAAACCCCCGCCCAGCACTGTCGCAGACATCCGGTCCAGCGCAGTGTTCTCATACTCAAACACCGCAGTCGAAAGGATTCTGGAAAATGGCAGAGCCAAGTACGCCAAAGGAGGTACGCAAGTACTTGCAGCAGAGCCATGATCGCATCTTTGAGAACAATAAGAAATGGGCCGAGGAGATGAGGAAGAAGAAGCCAGAGTTCTTCAAGGACTTGAGTGCTGGCCAGTCGCCCGAGTATTTGTGGATTGGTGAGTTGTCATTCCTTTCTGGTGTTGAAGACCGTGGCATGGCGGGCTCTACATAACTCAATCCCCACTACCGCATCGTTCACTATCCCCAGTCAATCGCAATACTAAACCCACCTTCCTCCAGGCTGCTCCGACTCGCGCATCCCCGCCGAAGCCATCACCGGGCTCGAGCCCGGTGAAATGTTCATCCACCGCAACATTGCCAACCTTGTCAACAACATCGACCTCAACGTCATGTCCGTCGTCAACTACGCGGTGCGCCACCTCAAAGTAAAGCACATTGTCGTGTGCGGGCATTACGGCTGCGGCGGCGTCAAAGCCGCCATGACGCCCAAGGACATGGGCCTGCTCAACCCCTGGCTGCGCAACATCCGCGACGTCTACCGCCTCCACCAAAAGGAAATGGACGACGTGATTGCGCATGGCGGCACCGAGGAGGACAAGTACAATAAGTTGGTGGAGCTCAATGTGATTGAGCAGTGTCGCAATGTGATCAAGACGGCGGCGGTGCAGCAGTGTTGGGCCGAGAATGAGTTTCCGGTTGTGCATGGGTGGGTGTTTGGGTTTGAGGATGGCTTGCTCAAGGATTTGAAGTTTGATCATGAGGGCCAGCTCAGGGAGATTCAGAAGATTTATGACTTGACCAAGGATGCGTAAGTGGGATGGGGGATTGTTTTCTGTTATCTTTGGGCTGGGGGGGGGGGGAAACGAGGGAATGAATGGTGCTTTTAGCGAGGTGTTGGTGGTGATTGGTGATGTTGATGTAGAAGATGTCAAAGCGGCATCGATTTGTGTAGAGAATTCCACACATGAATTCATAGAAGTTTTCCTGCGCAAAGAAACAAGTAAATATTTCCCCCTTATTTCTCCAGCCGAGTTCGTACAAGCGACCTCAAACGGGTTCAAAGTCTCCTAATGAACAACCCTCTACAAATTACCTAGTCTTCTCTACAAACAAAGGATGACCCTCACCCCCCTTCCTCACACCAACATTTCATTATATTTTCAGAACCATGGCACTGTCGCTGTCACTGTCTCTATGCATCCACACCGCTCTGTAGTTTAGGAATACATATGGCATACGGGCTCGCTGTGACACTAGTCTAGGGGACGTATAGCTGGCTACTTGTCCAGAGAAGCCAGCTAGGTAGTAAGTGAAATTTCAGAGGAAGGGGGGCTTGAATATGAGTGTTGGGAGAGAGGGCTGGGCTGGAGATGTGTAGAGGTGTGGAGTGTGGAGTGTGGAGTGCGTGGTTAGTAGTACAAATAGTATGCCACTTGAATGCCAAGAGTACAATGCACGAAACCGTTTCCCATTGAAGCAGATTAGATTTGCAATGAGATATCCCTGGATATTGGCGGAATACGGTACATATAGTTCAAGCCAGTCTCTTCTGTACAAACTCATGACGCTGTACCTAACGGTGAGCCGAGGAAAAAAATGTTGGTGCAATATGCAGGGTGTCCCTGCGTCTAGCAAGACAGCGTGGTTATGGTCATGTACAATCTCGGGTGTGTTCTATTACTACCTGGTGATGGACAATACTCTGCGCCGGTAAAACGCCTACTGTGAAGCAAGTAAAGCTTGTGGGGCAAACAACTTTGACAGCCTCTGACGAATTTCTCTAAACAAAAAAGGGGGCATGTGTATAGACAGCTCCTCTTAGCATGCGCAGCCCTCGCTTGCGCCCTCTGTCCGAGCACTGCCCAGGTTTACACGCGCATCCTCTTGCCGGCCTAGGTTTGTTTGTCCACCAACCCCACGGGGTCCCTTGAGGCTGGTCTCTGGAATCGCGTTTGCAATGGCTGTGAATACCTCGGCAACATTTTGGCCTGTCTTTGCGCTCGTCTCGAAGAAGAGCAGACTCTCCTCATCGGCATACGTCTTTGCCGTCTTGGCGGGCACTCTCCTTGCGTCTGCGCCATCCTCTGCTGCCTCTTCCTCGCCTTCTGCTGCCGGTGCCGCATCGGCGTCCTCTGAGCTCTCCTCACCAGCTGCTGTAGCTAAATCGGATTTGTTTCCTACAAGCGCGATGACGATGCCTGGCGATGCTTGGCGGTGTAGCTCGGCTACCCAATGTTGGGCTTTTGTGAGCGATGATGGCTTTGTGATATCGTAGACGACGAGTGCGGCTTGGGCGTTACGGTAGTACATGGGCGCGAGGGAGGCGAAGCGTTCCTGGCCTGCCGTGTCCCAGATCTCAAACTTGATAGTCCTTGTTGGGAGGTTGCATTTCTGCGTGAGGAAGGCGGCTATCCGTCCTGTTAGCTTAATGTTTCAGGGTAAATTGCAGCCTCTCTCCTTGTTGGGATAAAGTTTTCTTGCATGCAAATACGTACCTCCGATAGTGGGTTCCTTGTTCTCTTGAAAGTCATTGTTGACGAAGCGCATAACAAGGGAGGACTAGACGGCTGCTTAGCTTGCCATATCCAAGTCGAACCTACAGAGGGAAAGTGCTACCTTTCCGACAGCTGCCTCTCCTAGTAGTACCAGCTTGACGCTGCTGCTAGGCTTCGGTTGCGCGGATCCGTCCGCCATTCTGTTGACACTGGCTGCTGCGGGTTGCGGTTGTAGTTGCAGACGTAGATGGCGGCAGCGAGCAGTAGAAACTCTATTCGGTGTATTAAAGCGGTATTCTACGTTCAGCCAGGGGTGGAGCGTTGGGAGCGATTGAAGGTGGTTGTCGCCGCCGCGGGCAGCTGGCTAGCGTCTGCCACCCAGAGCAGTGACGGGTCGAGTGCACGTGACACAATGACTAAGCGGGAACATGTGGAATGCATCGTGACTGCCCTGTGTTGTCGAGTTTTCGCGCAACGTATCTCAGATGCAAGCATGTACAATATGTGACGAGGAGGCTCCAGAAGAAATAGCTCATCGTGATCTCCAACATCCTTAATCTTCCAAGGCAAATCATTCGACTCAGTACTGTGCTGAATTTCCATGGGACGAACCTTCTCAGGCTGTTAGCCAACTCTTCCTTCATCCTCCGCTGTAAAACTATGCACATACAGTAAGTACATCACGATAAAATCATCAGACAAGTCCCCTGCCTTCTCACATGCACGCATTTCCACAGCAGAAATGTGCATAACTACTGGGATTTCAAGCCTCAAATTCGATGCCTTGCAGCTCTACATGATGGCAGCTCGGACTTTGTAGGTACATAGCCAATGTACAAAAGAAACCTCGATCGGCTTGGCGACGTGCAGCCGACCACATTAAAATGACTCAAATCTGCGGCGTGGTAGGTAGACCGATGAAGTTCACGTACACCTAGTATAGTTGACAGCAATTACACTTTCTTTGGCGGCAAAGTCCACCAGGTCGCCCCTTGGATATAGTGTAGGTACCTAGGTACGGTCACAGTCAGCCGTCCACGCGCCCTTGCCAGAAGTCGGATACGGCAGCAGGTACTGCTGAGGGTGTTGTTGGTGGCATCCTCTTTCAGCTTGACCTACATCATCACGCTTGTGCTGGAGTCCCCATATGGCCATGGACGGGCAGACGCGGTAAGATGTACTCTGGCGTCATTCGTACATGGTACATAGTACATACTCTACGTTGCTTGCGCAGTAAAGGACTTGGTAGATTTGGAGTAGGGCTTTCACTGCTGCTTCCCCAGTCAAGCCGAAGTTGTTCGGTCCAGAAAGAAGAAAAATATTCTGGAAGGGTAAGGCGTGGTTGACGTCACTCTGTGGAGTCGCCCTAGATCGGAATATTAATAATGTTGATGTGTGTACAATGATGTTGTAGTTAGCTTGAAGCCTGTTGAAACCGGATTTGGCGGGTATTGAGTTGAAGGGCCACGGTCCAGCCGGGACCAAAAGCCAGCGCACGTGCAAGCATAGGCGCCCAGGGCCCCCTACCTAGATAGGTAGGCATGTATTGGCATGTGTGGAGGTACATGGACAAAATGCACAAACAGTGTGGACTTGTGGACTTGTCTGTCTGTCAGTCAGTCTGCCCGTTGGTGTACTAATGTTCCAAGCAACTTTGAGCATACTACCGATTACCTCGCGATAGCATGGTAACACGACAGTAAGACACATACGGTGGATTGAAATCTTGACAGAGTATTCGTGGACAAGAAATTATCGGCCGATGGTGGCGCCTCGACCCCTCAATTCAAGGGTCTGGCGCTGCACTGGCTGCTCAGGGCTGGCCTAAGGTAGTGACATCCACTGCCATGGGATTCCACAAGTGGAAGGCGCCTGAATTTCTGGCCCCTCAGCACCTGCATGTGTGTGAGTGGGCAATGGTGAGTGTAGTGAATGCACAAATGCAGAATGCCATGTCCCCACCACCACCACCACCACCACCGCCACCACGATGCGAACACGTTTCCTCTCGGAACTGTGTACCAATGTCATCGGGCAGAGAGTAGTGTGGGCGTATGTAGAATCGAGTCGAGTCGCAAAGCCTGAGCGCGTAGTACGAGATGAGGGACAGACAGGACAGACACATCATGACAAGAGAGCAAGCAAGGGTAGAACTTCGCAACAAATGTCCGGCCAACAGCTGTTTCACAAGCCCTCTTTATCCTTGTCTCGTTTCCACGATCTCGACCGGCGCAGCTTTTGGCGATCTCAGCTCGAGTCGGACGGCCGGCAGAGTTCCAGACATGGAGTCGCAGGCCCAGTGCGGCTTTTCCACGGCGGCTGCTGTCAGGGCGTCATGTGTCGTCGACCGGGCAGGCAATGGTGCGGCACCACCTCAGCCGACCCCACAACAGCGAGTTGGCGAGAAGAGGAGGTGGCTTGATGCCTACAGCGTTTAGCGTACTAGAGCGGCCACTGTCGTCCAGTGCACAGACGCAAGAGCGAGCGAGAGAGAAAGAGCAAGTGAAAGAGAAGAGGGTGGACAAAAGATCGATCGCGATGATGCCAAGCCGGAATCAGCTCTGGACTCTGGGTGGGGATGTAGAGTAGTAGCATCTTGTTTTTTTCTTCTTCTTTGAATTGTTCGATTCTTTTCATCCTATTCGGCATGTGTTGCACGCTGTACGCAGTAGGCAGTGTATGTGTACTCTAGTAGGGTAGGTATGAGATGAACAGCAGAGACGACGATGCCGACGAACATGTGTTCAGGTAGGCGGTGATCTTCTGCGTAGCGCTTTGCCCGACACAGGAGCGATCGGCTGGCCTTGGCCTGGACGCTGACATGACACGACACAACACGACACGACACGACGCGACGCACAATTCTCTCTTTCGCTCTCTTTTTGTTTCTTTCCTTGTTTCTTTCTCTCTCACACTCTCACTCTCACTCTCACTCTCTTGCTCTTTCTTTCTTTCTTTCTCTCTCCAGACATGGCAGTCAAGCGCTTCTCGGTTCCCCGTGGCCTTTGATCCGCCCACCGAGGGTTGGGGGCCCAAGCGGCTGTGCTGTTATGGACAAGCGCTGATCGGCCTTGCCTAACGGGGCCTAGGCAGTTGCTGGTGGGAATCGACTTGTGATTGCTCGAATCATAGCAGCAGCGAGGCCACCCTTTACATTACTTAGCAGTACTGCGTACGAGTACCGTACTATCTACTATCTGCCTACACGGTACGGTTACAGGCAGAGGATAGAGAAGACTCGGTAGACGAGTGCCAAGTTCCAATAATGCGCCGGGAACATGCGCGCGCAGGCACGATGAAGACAAAAAAAAGTACTGTCTGAATTCCTTGTGCTGAGACAGCGAGAGACCGCAATCAGCGCAGTGCGCCACGTAGAAGGGACATGATGCGGCGCAACTCGAGCCCGCGGAGTCGCGGACCAGTCTGCCAGTGCACTGGGGGGTGTGCTCTTTTATAGAATCGGCCAGAACAGGCTACGGCTTTCGAGGCGCGGCAGCTCGTCAGCCACGCAAGATGTGCCAGGTACTTGCCTGTACCTGGCACAGTACTGATGTGGACTGTGGATTGTGGAGGGAGTTTTTAGTACCTGGCAAGTACAATATTGTACTTTTATCACTCACTGATCACGTTGGCCAGCCCTGGACTGGTGCCGGACGACGTCGCAGCTGACCCTTTCCCTTCTCTTCCCCCCCCCCCCCCAATCCCCCGAAAGCCGCGTGCCATGTTTGCAACTAAATAATAAAAAGTTCCGTGGCTGCCATCTTCTGCAACAGTCTCACTGAATTTCCGCTCCCTCCCTCCCCTTCTCCTCTCCCCACCTCTGCTGCAGCGACTCGGCAACACCCACCCGTTTCAACCGAGACAGGCCTGTTTGAATCCGACCAGAATATACCACGCAATCAGACGCTCAAGGCACGAGCGTCTGTGGGTGGGGTCATCGCATTCCGGTATCTAGCATCTGTCACACACATCGGACCAAGTATTTTTTTAAGACAACCAAGCAAACACTCCCTCCACACACACACACACACACACACACACACATATACACACAAGACAAACCCTGCCGAGGACACTGTACCGTACCTTGAAAGAGAAAGTCAGTATTCCACCACCCGTCGTTATCGCCTTGCCTCTTCTTCCCTTCCTTTGCCTTCCCTGCGCTGCCCTGCATTGTTGGCCGGAGCCACTCAGCCGCATCGTCCATTCGCAACGCCAACCCAACTCGGAGGCTGTGCACATCGTCGTCCGCCTCCGCCTCCGCCTTTGCTGACGAAGCCGGGCGAACAAAGCAACCCGCCGCGGCTCCAACTTTTTTTTTGGGGCACAATGACGGTCCTCAAGGCATGTACACCTGTCACACCCGTCGCCTGTCGTCTGTCTCCAGCCTCCAGCCACCAGCCGTCAGTCGCCAGTCACCAGTCACCGGTTCAGTAACTGCGTTGGTGGGCCATTGCACTGCGCTGAATTCCCCTTCCTATTGCTTGCGCTGACCTGCCTGCCCCCTACCAGGAACCCGTGACAGTCCGCCCAGCCAGCCAGCATCGACACTCTGGCAACATCATGGCCGGCTCGCTGCCCAAGAATCGCCCGCACTCGCACTCGATATCGGCCAGCGCCATCAACCCCGCGCATCGCGTCACCCGCCGCAAGAGCATGAGCTCGTCAGCCGCCAACAACGTTGCAGCCATAGCTGCCGCGGCCAAAGGTGTTATCGGAGCGCCGCTCGAGGGGGCCAGCGTCGGTGGTAGTGGCAGTGGCCAGCGTCGGACGTCGAAGCCGCCCACGCAGTTCCGGGGCCCCAGTCTGAACGCAGCCATGGCCTCGAGCATGCCCGGCAGCGGCGGCTCGCCCTTTGGCTCCAGTAGCTACAACGGCACGGCAGCACAGGGCGAGGCAGTCGTTGACGGACCGGTGCTGGCCACGATGCCAGAGCACAAGCTGGCCGAGTCCAAGTCGCGGATACGGCGGGCAAGCGAGGGATCACGCCTCAAGGGCGACGGCAAGCGCACCAGTGGTAGCGAACTGAAGTGTGAAAAATGTGGGAAAGGCTACAAGCACAGCAGCTGTCTGACGAAGCACCTGTCAGTAACCCCTAGCCAACGTCGCTCTGCCCACATACTTTCACGCCTCACGACGAATGCCCTGCTCTCTGCACTCGCACCTGCACCCACACCTGCACCAGCCCCTGCATCTGCACGCCTACATGGCCCACACTTGTTTGCACTTGTTCAGCGTTGACTTTTGATTTTAGTTGGGAACACACGCCCGAATGGCAGTTGACTTCGAAGCTGCTCATCTCCAAGCACCAGCAGGTTCAGCTGCTCGAAGCGGCCTCGGTCCTCGTGGCCATGAACAAGGAGAGCGACGATGGCGGGAGTGACCGCTCATCGCCTCCCGCTTCGGGCTCGTCAGACGTGCGGGAGGAGCCCAGCTCCACAGAAACTACCCCGCCCCCGCAAATGGACGATCACGCTGTGGGCTCCTACCCTCACTCCCACTTCGGCCAGCGTTCCATCAAGCGCTATTCCACCAACAGCTCCGCCTACAGCCAGTCTTACCAATCCACCGTCTTCTCTGAAAATGGTGCTGGTCTTGGTGCCGGTGGCCATTTCCGCCACTGGAGTAACGTTTCTGACAGGCCCACGACGTCGGGCACCTCGGTTGCAGGCTCCTATCATGACGATGGAACTGACCATGCCGACCTTGCCGCCGCCGTTGGCCTGTTGAGCTGCTCTTACGGTACCCCCAAGATGGGTCCTCAGACTCTCTCGCCGGGGATTCCTCCTGTACCGCCGCTGCCTGCCAAGTTCCTAGATTTCCAGCACGGCCAATCACTGTCCGGCAGCACGACTGTCCAGCCGCAACAATCGAGTGTGCGTAACAGCTACCGATACCACAGTGAAAACAAGGATGTCGACATGGACGATGACCACTTTGCCGACGAGGAAGACTACCGCCACTCCAACTCGCGCAGTCGCGGCCGTGTAGATGAGGATGACGATGCCTTCTTTGGAGGCATGGAGGAGTAGCTTCCTTGCTGATTCTCACGCCCCTGCAACGACCGTCCCGACACAGTTCCATCTTGCTATTCCTGCTTTCTTCATCCCATGTTCGAACCATTATCGGCACTGTACCACAATCCAAACATGAGCGACTTAGCGAATGCATCTCCGCAGCCCCCCCCTATACCAGTCGCACCTCGCAATCTACAGAAGCACCGATGAGAGGGCCGCCGTTTGTTCATCTCACGGCTGTGCTCTTGAGGTTGAAGCTTCCGTTTGATCGCGTCGTGCAGACTTGCGTCGAGAGCATTTTGTCACGAATTGCTGTTACAACATCAATAAAATCAACTTAGTTCGTACATCAGATTTTTCATCTTTTCTTTTTTTTCATCTTTGTCCATCCAATCAGCGCATTCACCAGCACAGGAACTCATATAACTTGATATTTTTAAGAAGATGGAGGGAGAGGAGCGGGTGCGATGCGGTCATGGACGAAGTAACATAGGTTTTGAGGTTTGAAAGTTTCCAAAGGTCAGCTGGGCGTGCTGGAGCACAGGGATCCACTGATTTGGGGCCTGAAAGTCTGCTTGGCCACGTTTTTTTGTATATGATTCGATCTAGGGAAGAAGAGGGAGAGATGGAGAATGACGGCAAACATGTACAAAGGACAATGCAGAGGACACTGCAAAGTTGTACCGAGAATTGAATCCAACATCCATGTGCCAAATTCTCACTTGTAATACTCATGTCATGCTCATGCTTGTGTCTCCATCCCATGCCCCTGAAGTAAAGATTGGAAGGGGCAACGCAACCATCACATGAAGACGATGTGTGGAACAAGGTACATGACCTTTACGTCTACCAGAGACAGCTGTGTACGTACATAGGTAAGTAGGTAGCACAAGGGAAATATACAACAATACTACAGAAAGGAAAGGGAGGAAAATACAGAGGGAAACAATATGGTATATAATAACTATCCACTACACCTTCTCCTGTTGAAATCGTGGAATGTGGGTGGGAGTTTGCTTTTGTTGCCTGAGATGTGATGATTTTCAGAATTTGGTTTTAGATGATTGTAAGTGACGGATTGGCTTCGAGTGTACGGATAGATAGTTTGCAACTAAGGGTAGGAGTGTATATTATATAGACGGTGGGCCGGAGAAGGAGATGTTGGTAACTGGTGGCACAGGGCTAAAACTAAGTTACCATGTGGCGTCACTTGTGACCCTGGTACTTGCTGCAACGGACCCTCCCGCACAGTCGCGTCCCAAACCGCCTCGGACACCTCATCCTCAACAACGACGTCTCATCGCATGCCGTACGACTCGATGCCCTCCGAGGAGCGCAGATCTCCCTTCTGCTCCAATGCACCCGGTCGCTTCTCTGATCGCCGATAACGTCGTCAAACACCAGCAGCTCTTCGGCCCGTTGCTGTTCGCTGTCCTCGCGACTGTTGGCAACGTCCATACCCCAGTTCTACATTCACTCTTCGTGACTGCAATATCTTGGGTTGTGATATGGGTTCCCTTGATCTTCCGCGTTGGAATATACTCGAATAGCAGTACCGAAAGGAGGAGCACAAGCTGGCTAGCTGGCGCTTTTCTCGCCCTGTCTCAGATCTTCGACAGGGCAGCATGCGACAAGCAGGGCATATGGGTGACGAAGGTGGGCATGAAAGGGCTGATAAATTTTCTATGGCTACTGAATTACCCCCTAGGCCCTGCTACCACTCCTCGTCATCCTAATATCGCAGCACGAGCGATATTCCAAGTATGTTGCGCTGCCAATCCATGCAGGCCTTGACAGTCTGGCGGTGGATACCAAGGCTTTTCCTGAGCAGACTTCTTACAGCAGGTCATACCCGCTTTTAGCTGCTCTGACCGTGTCTGCAAGCACAGTTCTGGCTCTCTACACCGCGACCACGACGCTGCTGCTAGGTCTGGGCAGCGTCTTTTTTGCAGCCGTTGGATTCGTGCTCCTCGAATCTGCCGTAGCAGGTGGAACCGAAGGCAGTAGGAATGACACCGAAATTGTTCATGGAGCTTCAGTACGACGAATACCCCCAAGTGTCACGCTGAAGCATCAACAGCTAGCGGTGCTACGTGATGTAGCTTTGATCATGGCTATTGGCTGTGGCATTGCTACCTGTGCCATGGAGCCCGATGTGTCCTCGACGTCCATTACATGGGAGCCTGTGTATAGCCTGTACATTATGGATTGGAGAGATGTACATAATTACCGTATTTTGCAGCGCGTTTTGTGGACGCTACCTGTACATGTCCTAACGAACGTCCTCGCTTTTGTCTTAGTAAGTCAAATCCCTATGATTCAATCACCAAACATGTTGAGAGTCCATATGGAATATGGGGACCCGTTGACACAGTTGCATGTTTTCTATCGCGCACCAAATCAGCAACCTGTCTCATCATGCTTGCTAACGTGCTCCCCATTCGTCGCGCGATTCCCTCGTTGATCTTCAACAGCCGCTTAATTTCGTCCCAATTACTGACTAATAGATACAGGTTGTTCAACAAGGCGTCGTAAATACTTCCCTTCTTTATCTGTTTGTATATCTCTGTGCGAAGCTGTGCTTCGGCGTGTACCTTTCGAGTATCTGGTTTACCGCGATATTTGGGCTATCGTCATTATTATTCGTCGCTGGATCAACGTCAAGTACTCTGCTAATTGAGGTGCGGAACTCACTACGACTCAGGCGTTTCGTTCTTGGTGTTACAGTTCTTTCGCTACTCCTTCTCATTGTCCAGCAAAATTTCACCGTCACACAGAGGTACCCTACTGATGTCGACTCAAATATGGCAATATCTTTGCCAGAAACTCCGCTTGGGCCGGTACGAATAGATCTGTCCAAAGGCCATCCCGCTGCACAGTTGATCAAGGCGGCCGAGGCAGACTTTCAACGTACCCTCGATCGACAATCAAAAACATTGGCAGCTGCAGTACAAGAGTACCGTCGCAGGAACGGCATAGCACCACCCCCACACTTTGACAAGTGGTATGAATTTGCTACCCGTAACGGGGTGGTAATGATTGATGAGTTCGACACGGTCAACCAGATGTTACTCCCCTTCTGGGCTGTCAAACCCGCGACACTGCGATCGCGCGTTATGAGAGCAATCGGCCATGAGGAGAATGCTCTGATTGCGATCGCGATTCGACACGGAGCTGTGGAGAATTTTGAGAAAGGAGACGAGTGGCAACAGCAAGCAACCATTGGCATGTTGAAGAACTTTGTGCAATATCTACCGGACATGGATTTGGGTTTCAACATGCATGACGAACCTCGAGTTGTCGTGCCCACGAACCTGCTATCAGCAATGATTGCCAAGGCAAAGGATGAAGTGCTTCCCAGAGCCGCAAAGAATCAGGCACCTCGCAATGCGTTCTCGAATCGTCCTGCGGATATGAACGATGGAACACGGTTCATGGAGTCAACCACCACAAAGTTCAATCGATTTGCCCATCAACAAACTTGGACGCACTCTCGACTCTCTTGCGCTAGCGACACTCAGGCACAGACGTTTGAAGACTCAGCGGCTGACAACCTCACAGCCTATGCGGCCGATCCACTCAACTACGTCTACAACATCACGGCCTTCTCCGACATCTGCAACTCTCCGTCCCTGTCATCCACCTTTGGCTTCTTTGAACGCCCAAACGCCTTCAGCATCACGCACGAGCTCACGCCCATCTTCTCGCAATCCAAAATCTCCAGCTTTCAGGACATTCTCTACCCTAGCCCATGGTACTGGGCTGGTAAAGTCGGATATGATGAAGATCACGACACAAACTGGGACAACAAGACCAACAGCCTCTACTGGCGTGGCTCCACAACAGGAGGCTTCAGTCGCAACGGCGGCTGGCGCCGTCAACACCGTCAACACCTGGTCCGCCGTCTCAACGCCCCCGACAAAGCACAAATACTAATCCCCACCACCTCTCCCTCTTCGCCCCAATCCCCAGCCACCAGCTTGCACACCGTCACCGAAATCGACCGCCAATCTCTCGCCCACCTCATCGACGTGAAATTCTCCCACATTGGCCAATGCGACCCGGACGACTGTGCCGCCCAAAAGGAATTCTTCCACGTCACCGAACGCGTCGACGGCCAGGACGCTTGGTACCACAAACACCTCCTCGACATGGACGGCAACGCCTTCTCCGGCCGCTTCTACAGCTTCCTCAAGAGCAAAAGTCTGACGTACAAAATGGCCGTGTTCAGGGAGTGGCATGCCGAGTGGCTGCGACCGTGGGTTCACTATATACCCCTGAGTCTCCGTGCCGACGAGGGCCTCGATCTCGTGCGCTGGTTTGCGGGCGAGCAGCGTGGTAAAGGGGGAAACGGCGACTCCGAGGGTGAGACCAAGGCGCGGGAGATTGCGCGCCGTAGTACAGAGTGGCATGATCGGGTGCTGAGAAATGTGGATATGGAGGTTTGGCTGTTTCGCTTGTTGTTGGAGTATGCGAGGGTTGTGGATGATGCGAGGGAGGAGATTGGGTATTTGGGACCGTAGGGGTGGGGGGATTGTGGATGGGATGGATGGGCCTGGCATGTGTGTTTATATTTACATGTGAAGGATAATTTTTCGTTTTTGATGGGCACGTAGATATCTCCATCGTCTCTCTCTCTCTCTGCACGGCGAGGATCTCCAATCATCTCGTGTGAAGAGACGTAGCCATTACATAGATTACATAGAACGTGAAAGCACCTTACCTATTCTTCCCTCTGGCACGAACAACATCACATTATCACTGAAATGGGGCACAAGTACAAAGTATAAAAGAAGAGAGGAGATATTTACCCCCAATGCGAAGCCAGACCACATGCAATTTGACTAGCCTATAACGCCTTTCCATCTACCGCACCGCAACAAACGCTTCCATTAATGATCATGCTCCACTGGGCTGTATAGACCTGGAGGCTCATACCGTTCCCTCCCCATTCCATGTCTCGTAACTGTATATTCCTTCGTAAGCCATTTTCCCCCGGGGTATGGCCTTTGCTTTTGCCGTCTAGGGCCTGTTTGCGCCTATTCGCTGACCGTACTCGGAAAAGAAGGTACACTTGTTCACGCGATGACAGGTACCAGTCTTCTCATCAAAGGTCGAGCATCCGTACGTTGCGGCATTGGGTGGCGTGTACACTGTACGAATTAGTCAATTGTGCAATAGGAGATGAAGCTCAGTTTGGGGGCCCAAAGACACTTACAGTGCAGTGACACTGCGTATTCCGTGGGGTGCGGATTCTTGATCTTGTGCAGGCCCAGCTTGTCCGACATGTACGTGACTTGGTCACGTTCGTACGTCTTCTGGGAGATGACATCGAGCGGACGTTTCTCGCCCTTGTTGAGAGCGACCGTGGGCCAGTCGTAGCGAGTCTCTTGGAGACTGCCCTTGAGGACCTTCATGATGCAGTGGGCGTTTGAGTGACTGTCCGTCACACGTCAGTGGTTTTCATTCTCTCATGCGTTTCGCAACTTTGCCGTTTTCGATGAAGATTTTGGGGATCCTTATCGAGAATAGCCAGAAGAAATATCGAGATTGAGTCGTTCTTACCGGCATGTCTCCTGCACTGACGCATCGACCCAGAGGTCGGCGAACTGACGTCGCTTCATCGTGCAGGAGGACAGAACCATGGGTGATCAGGTGACCAAAAGAGGACGAAAAAGTCGTTTGGTGAGCCCCTAGGACAGCTGTGTCCGTGACATGCTGTTATTGACAACTTACTCATGCACAACGCTTTCTTTGTTTGGTCCCCAAACCAGGATAAGCTGCACCAAAAGTCAGTACTCCGGAAGACGTGGAGAGCAGGTAGCGCACCAGGTTACTCTTGCCATTGCCCTTGTCGACCAGGTTCCTCGTGTAGGGAATGTGCTCCGACGCGAAGTAGTATTTCTCCCACTCTGCATCATTCGAGACGTAGTCCTCCATCAACTTCTGGAGGTCACTGGGATCGATGTCATCCGAATCAATCCCACGGGAAGGTCCAAGCTTATCGCTGAGAGCCTGGACAAGCTGGTGGAAGCCATCTTGTGCTGAGGTACGGCCAGGCATGGTCATCAGTGGTGTTGGTGTGGTTGTTGACAATGAAATCTCTGTAAAGGATTCAACTGGAGAGGCGAGCGAGAGAGAGAGAGAGAGAGAGAGAGAGTTGTAGAGTCCTTGGTGCTCCGAATGTCGGTGAGGAAAGAGCTCAGTGTATTGAAGTCAGTGCACAGATAGGATAAAGCCGGCTCTTATGATAATGGAGAAAGTGCGATCAGGTGTTTGCACCACGTATGATCCAATTGCGATTCAGTAAGGGCTTGCGTATTATGTAACATATCGCGCCGATTCGAACCATGTGGCGCTCCAACAGCTTGTCAGGTGCCTCAGACAAACAGCAGCTGAGGGCATTTCAAAACTCCAAGCAATCTGCAACCCGATGCTCCGTGAGATTCCGGACTGTATACGAGACTTGGTCGGCTTCTGTCGGAAACAGTAGCTTGCTACAGGAATTACAATATACTACAGGATGCATGATGTTTCAAGACTCAAGTGATGCATGCTGGCTGACGTCTGAGCTAGTCTGTATTGGGGTGGCGGCAGAACAATTCGCCGACCTTCTCTTGCCCCGCCAGCGTCATGGGTAGTGGCTCGCATCAAATTTCTGTGACAACACCAACAAACCTGTGTGAACCGCCCCAAAACAAGCCAGAGGCGCAGAGAAAGTCACCATGGCGACTACCGTAGATAAGGCATGTGCTGCTTTGAACTGTGACACGGTCTTGTATCACTAACATTCCATGCGGAACAGATCAAGGATATCGAGGCCGAAGTAAGACATGTCCAGACCGCAAAGCGCAAACAATGACTGACGCCGATGATTTAGATGGCCAAGACCCAAAAGAACAAGGCGACATCGTTTCATCTTGGTACGCCAACTTACTCGCGATCTGCATGCTAGCATGCTTATATACGGACAGGGCAACTGAAAGCCAAACTTGCCAAACTCAAGCGCGAGCTGCTCGAGCCTAGCAGCAGCGGAGGTGGTGGTGCTGGAGTGGGTTTTGATGTTGCAAGAACTGGTGTTGCTAGTGTGGGCTTCATAGGCTTTCCCTCTGTGGGCAAAAGTACGCTCATGAGCAAGTTGACAGGCCAGCATTCCGAAGCTGCGGCATACGAATTCACAACACTCACCACGGTGCCCGGTCAAGTCCAATACAATGGCGCCAAAATCCAGATTCTCGATCTTCCTGGTATCATTCAGGGTGCCAAAGACGGCAAGGGTCGTGGCCGGCAGGTCATTGCGGTTGCGAAGACGTGCCATTTAATCTTCATCGTTCTCGATGTGAACAAGCCGTTGACTGACAAGCGAATCATCGAGAACGAGTTGGAAGGTTTTGGCATTCGAATCAACAAGAGTCCTCCCAATATCGTGCTCAAGAAAAAAGACAAGGGAGGCATCAACATCACAGCAACAGTGCCCCTTACCCATATCGACCACGACGAGATCAAGGCTGTGTTGAGCGAATACCGCATGGCGAATGCTGATGTCGCCATCCGTTGCGATGCCACTGTTGATGACTTGATTGACGTTATTGAAGCAAAGTCGCGAAGCTATATTCCAGTCATCTACGCGCTGAACAAAATCGACGCCATCTCTATTGAGGAACTTGACTTGCTTTATCGGATTCCCAACGCCTGTCCTATCAGCTCCGAGCACGGCTGGAACATTGACGAGCTGCTTGAGCAGATGTGGGAGAAGCTCAACCTTGTCCGTGTCTACACCAAGCCGAAAGGCAAGATGCCTGACTACACTGCACCAGTGGTGTTGCGATCGAACGCTTGCACGATTGAAGACTTTGTATGTCTCTCTCCTGGATATAGAGAATGGTCAGCTGACGGAGGCGCAGTGCAATTCGATCCACAAAACAATTGTGGAGAACTTCAAGCACGCGATTGTGTATGGCAAGTCAGTGAAGCATCAACCTCAGCGTGTTGGTCTTTCTCATGAGCTTGCCGACGAAGACATTGGTAAGTCTGTTACGATATCTCTCGATTCGTGCAAGGCCTGCGGCTCACTATTCAACCAGTCACGATTGTCAAACGATAGATGAGGTCGGGTGATTTAGATGACTTCGGCCCTACAACCCCACAGACTGGGGCCTTTTGGCTGGTGACAGAATGAGGTGGAGCGGAGTGGAGATTGAATCCAGATGGCTAGCATGTCTTACTGCGATATGAATAGGTGGCATTGAAATGATGACGAGCTGGACGAGGCTCCAAGCCGACGTCGCAGGTGGATTGGCCGAAGGGATTGCCCGAGTAGGACCGCGGGCGACACGAGCACGCACGCTTATTGCGGAGACGACAGCTTACGGCGCGGATCGTAACTCTAATTCGCCCAAGTAATAGGGACTGTGGCGGACCGATGCCGTCCGCGAGCCATCCATCCATACCGTAGCAGTAGGCTCGCTCTGGTAATGAAGAGGCGCCCCACGGGAATTGGAAGCTCAGCGAAAAGAAGGTAGGGTAGCAGGATGGCAGCGGCAACCGTGCTGTTGGAACGGGGACAGGATTTGTTTTTTTTTTGCCCATGTTGAAGCTTCGGAAGTTTATGGAATACGATCAGCAGCATTTTCTGGCTCCATTTTTTGAGGCGTAGGCGTTGTCCATTGGTGCACTAACGGAGGCAGTTGGACGACTCGGAGAAAGAAGGCAGGGGTTCTCTGGAGCTGGCGACTCACAGCGCTCGTATGGCCCTGGGCGCTAAAAGATTATCGAGGCCAGGCCTGAGTGGCTGGTCGGTAAAAGCTAATGGGGGGGACCCAGGCACTTGAGCTGGCTCCAGTGTGGATGGGCGCGATGATGAGAGAGCTATTGGAAAGAGGGCAGCTCTCGGAAGGGATTTCAGCCGCCGGACAGCTTGTGCCCCTCCTTTATGCACAGGCGATGATGGCGGTGCTGAGGCTAAGCATGGTAGCTGTGGAGAGAGAGAGAGAGAGAGAGAGAGAGAGTAAAGAGTGTAGCATGGCATACCGGTACGTACCTCCATACAGCTTGTACACGCTCGCGTACCTGAGCAGCTGCCAGCATGAGGATGCATCTTGGACTGGTTGGCGCCACGAGCGCACGGTAACGGCCAGGCGCACGAGGCGATGGGGGGAGGGGCAATATAGCGCGCCCACGCCGACCAGGCCTGGTTTGGGAAAGGGCTGAGAGAAAGAGAGAGGAGGGTGGTGGGTGGGTTTAGCCGGCCGCAGTGGCCCTGATCAGTGACGGGACGAGGGCAGCTGGCACGCTTGGACAACAACATGCCAATGCTAGTTTGGCGATCATGGGGAGCGAGCACTGTGTGTGTGTGTGTACATGCAAGTACTCACTCGGTGCTGTAGTACCCCTCCTACTATGGTGGTAGTGTGCCGGTACAGTTCGGTAGGTAGGGACGGTAGGTACTCTGACACAGACAGTTTGGATTCCAGCTACTTGTACCAGGGCTAGAGACTGTTTACTGTTTGCAGGTTTGCAGCTGTTGGCTGTTAGCTGGGTGGTTTAGGCCGCAGAATTGGTGGCCCGGGCAGTCCTAGGGGCGCATCCCCGATGAGACCCGCAACACGCTAGGCCCAACGTTGCTGCTCGCCTTCTTTTTTGCTTGTCGCTTGGGCCGGCCGGGATGGCGGCCAGCATGGCAGGAGCAAGCCAGCAGCGGCAGTAACTACCTTAGCCGCACCTACCCTAGGCTACCTATCTGCCCTGCTGTTACATGCCTATCCGCTTACCTACTGGTTTACGAGCAACGTGCACGACCAATACGTGGT